TTCTTTTCCCCAGTGTTTGGCCATCCCTAGTGAGTTTGCTACACACTGTATTGACTTTATCCTCGCGTGTTTTCTTTCTTTGTCTGCATTTTGCATGTATCATCCCATCATTATCATCATGATAGAGTTCATTGCATGTCAGCATTAGATAGTTTTCTTTTGTCCATAACATAACATGTCATATGCATTCAGAATCAAATTTGGGTCTTCTTGGTATTTAAGTATCTCCCACTACGATCATATGAAGAATATCATTCTTCATACTCTCTAATTGAAGATATTTAAATAGGGGCAACTGTTACACCCTAATTTTGACCCTGAATTTCCAGCCATACATATCATTTCACTTTCATCATCTGTGCATTGTATCCATCACTCAGGTCATCTAACCATTATGCCTCCGAAATTTGTGTCTTTTTGTCGCTTAAGCTCAGGTCTTGCAAGATTGAAGCAAGATTCATGCAGAGTTATCAAGTCAAGTTATCAGGTTGTGGAAAAGATTCTAAATTAGGGAATTTGGTTCTCAGCAAGCCATCATTTCATCAGTGTGCATTCAAGTCCAAGATTAGGGTTTCTCAGCCTTCGTGTTTAAGATGAGCAAGCATCATTCAGTTGAGTTTTATTTGAGGGTAGCAGGTTCAATATATGTGCAGTATTGTTTCAGACCAAGTGTGTGTGCATAGTGATTTGAAATTTGAAGGAAGTTTGACCTAATTTTGGTCAAACGTTTATGGTTCAATTATCAAGTTATCAGGCAGTGGCAAAGGCAGTTTGTTTCAAGGTGGATAATCATCAGGGCTATTTGAATTTTAATTAGGGTTTCGGAAAAATGGCAGTACAGATAGTATTTCAAGTCACCTGTGTCTGTGTCTACTTTGGAGATAAGTGTGGATTGAATTCAAGTATATATGTTTGACGATCAAGATCAGGGCTTGGTGTGAAACTCAAGTTTACCTCATGAAGTTAAGTTGTAAAAGCCATTTAAAGTCAAGACATTCAGTCAGTTACTTCAAGTCTTGATTATTTGATTCATGCTTTCTCTTCAAAGGAAGATTCAAACTTTATACTCCATTCAAGATTATTTCAATATGGAATCAAGATGAGGAGGAATAGGATCAGAGTTTCTTAACTTCATGCGAGTGTCACTTATTTAAGTTTTGTTTTAAGTGGTTCATTTTTAGCCATTCCTCAAGATTTGAATCAAGATCTTTCCAAATTTCATGTCAAGTTCCAAATTTGTGAGTTTCATCCAAGATTTAATTTCAAGTTCCAATATAAATTTTCAAATTACAAAATTCAAATCAAGTTCATTCTAATTTGAGATCCAAATTTCAAATCCATAAATTTGTGAATTCATTCAAGTTGCAACAAATAACCAAGTTTCAAGTCCATTCAAATTCCAAGTTTTAATTCAAGATCCAAGTTTTGAGTTTCAACCTTAGTGCATTTCAAGTTTTAGATCCAATTCATGTTCAAGATCCAATCCATGCGTAATTTTAATATCTAATTTTAATCCAATTCAATTTCCTTTCAAGTATAAATCCTAATCAAAAGTCAAGAGTCAATTTTCAATCTCATTTCCAAGTTCCAATTCCAGTGTCCTTTTTTTTTTAATTAACTCAATTTCCAAGTTTCAAATCCAAGTTTCAAAATTCATTTTCATATTAATTCACATGCAAAACCAATTCAAGTTCATTTTTCAACTTTAATCCAATTCAAGTTCAATTTTATTTTTATTTAAGTTTCAAAGTTTAAATGTCAAATTTCATTTTAAGTTCATTACAAGTTCATTTGGATCAGCTACAAAGATGTGTGAATTTAAGTTACAATTCAAAAACATGTCAAAGTTACAATCTTCATTACCATTTGTTTTAAGAGTTCAAGTTATTCAAATCACACTTATTGAAATCAAAAGTTTTTCAAGAATTCAAAGATGTGTGAAGTCATTCAAATGTTGGCTGCAGAATTGCAAAATTCAAGCTACCACATTCAACTTCCAACTTGTGCAATTCCAATGTTTTCCAAATGAGGCCCCACCAACAATAATAGCTACTACAAGCTCCACAACAGCACATCCAAGCAACCAAAACCTGCAGAATCGTACTGCTACCCCCACTGCACAACTATTACACCAATTACTCATGCCACAAACTTGCAAAAAAATAGATAACAGACAATTCTGCTTCACGATAAAATAACAGCTAGCCTCAAAACACCCTACAACAACACGTATCAACGAATTTTTTTTACTACCACATCTCACAAATTTGTAGCTCGTACCAACAAACTTGCCAACAAAACACTCCCTCCGAACTACGGACGCTCTGATTTCTCATTTGTCAATGAGAATACGTAGGCATTGGATTGCGAGATCCTAGCGAGCAACCTCCTCTATTTCTCCCGTAGTTCCACGAACTACGGACGCTCTCATTCTTCATTTCTTTCAAGTGAAAATACGTAGGCACAAGGGCCCCAATCCTGGGTGAGCACCCTTATCTAAAACCAACCCATTTTCCCTTAACAATCTAAACCCTTTTATCTTACATTTTCACTTTATTCCTTTAGAAGAAAACATACAACCTTACCTAACATTTCTCACGAATTGAATCAAGAGGTTCCCATTGAGTACACCGGATGTGAGGGGTGCTAATACCTTCCCCTCGCGTAACCGACTCCCGAACCTAGAACTTGGTTGCAATGACCATGTTCTTCCCCTAAAGGTTTTCTCGATATTTTCCTTTCCCTATTTGGGATAAATAAAGTTCGGTGGCGACTCTGTTTTCTACAACCATTCGCGAAGGATCGTTCTTTTTTCGAGGTATGACAGTAACGACCAAAACCGAGGTGCTAACGACAAACGGACTTTAAACGATGCCACTCAAAACATTACAGGTCTTTCCAATAAATATGGTGACAACCAACTCAGCAAGACCAATAACAATTGGATTTTGAAAAATGCTAGTGACTACTGGACTGCCTGAGGAATGCTAGTAACAACTAGACTTCAAAGGGAGATGTTGGTAACAAACAACACTCAGAGATACCAATGACGATTGGTTTTCAGTCAAAGTCAAAGTCAGTAACTACTGGACTTCCTGGGGAAATGTTGATAACAAACAACATTCAGAGAATATAACAGAGTTGGATGAAATTTGCCAATTACAATTTGGACTTTAAACAATGCCAATAACCACTGGACTTTCCTGGAGATTGGTGATGACTAATACAGAAATATCAATAACAATTAGATTCTAAGCAATGCCAGTAACTACTGGACTTTTCTGGAGATTGGTGATGACCAATTTCTACTTTACCAATACTTATTCTGTATTGATTCTCCAACTCATGTTTGCGTTGAGTATATAGTTTCTATTACTCAATTTCCATCAGCAGTTTTGTTAGTTGTATTCCTCAGAGGAGTCGCCTCTTTCCTTGCAGGGTGCAAATTTTATGGTTCTTTTGGTATTCAATCTCCTCTCACCTTGAATGTCTGAAAGTCGTTGCTATCATCCCTTCAGGTCCAAGTTGATTGAATAGGGGCAGTTGTTGTACCCCAAAATTTAACCTCATTTTCATCTAACCGTAATTGGTTGTCGCTTCACATACATATGCATCTATTCACTCGGTCATTCTGAAGAACTAGGGTTTTCTATTGGCTTATGGTTCCTACTTCATTGAAGATCAATGCCACCGATGCTTTCATGGATCTTGGAATTGGGGTTTGAACTATTGTCATCAGGAGCATATTTTTTTGTCACAATGTTGTATTCTTCAAAGTTCCTCAATAGGGTTGCATCAGGGTGTGAATTCATATACGTCATGGATTTCTTTTTAAGTAAGCCATAAGGATATGTCATGGTTCCTTCAAGATTTCCCAAGAGCCTCAGGGCACATTTCGAAGAGAATTAAGGTTTTCCTCCTACGCGTATTTAGCGTGGTCATTTGTAGATTGGTTATGGTTTTTATGGCAAGTAATATCATAGGTTATATCCTTTTGGTTGTGTGGGTAACGAAGGTCGAGCAAGATTTTATTTGAAGTAGATCATTATTTATTTCCATCTTAAGTGAACGGGGTTTGAATTTTTCCTTACTAGTAGTGGTAGTAAGGAGTTTTAAAGAAAGATTCAAGAATCACGTCCTTTACAAAAATTTGAATTGATTCACAATTCTCTCTGCAAAGTTTAAAGTCAAGATGTGATTCACGAGTTTTTATACAAAGATACAAGTGGTGGTCCATATTCCATCATGAATAAACAAAGTCCAAATTCAAGATTCATATTATGCTATCTTCCATAAAGAGTTGTTTGTTCAAGAAAAGATTGTGTGATTACACCATAGACCATCACAAGAAGAGTTTACTCAAGACAAAAGGATCATGTTCTACCAAATGCAAGGTACACTAATTTTAAGGTTCATGCTTGCTAGTCAACATTATTCATCGAAAGGAAAAAAATTCACAACATCGTCCATTTACAAGTAAAGTACATAATAAAGCTAAGTAACAATGTAGCTCTACCATGACCAAGGTGCCCTCATTTGAAGACAGTTAAAAATCATCAAGTAAAAAAACACTAAACGGGATCTTTACTTTTTGTATTGCCTTATTTTTCCCTTCACTTGTTCTTATTGCTACTTACTCATTTTCCGTCCAAATCTTTCTCACTATGTAACCCTCATGAGAACTCTGTATTGTTACAATTCAAGAACTCATTTTCTGTCTACATGTTCCTCTTTTTCTTTCAAGACATAATCTTGGAAAAAAGAGTAAAGACTGTTGCGATGGTGTCACGTGCGACGACATGTCTGACTATGTCATTGGTGTGGACCTTAGTTGCAATAAGCTAAAAGATGAATTACATCCCAACAACAATATCTTTCAACTTAGGCATCTTCAAGAACACTATCTTGTCGTTTGGCAGATATAGGAGACGGATAATGTAGTTCAGGATGCAGTTTTGAATGCTGGATGCAATGCTTTACGGGAAGTTGGCGTTTTTGAACTACTGCCACACATTTTGCAACCTCGTGAACTGATGCAACAGTGTAATCTCACATAAACAGACCCGATATCAAGAAGAGACAAAATACAAACCTCTGATGGTGAAGGTGTTATAGGAGCACCGATTTTGAAGCTTAGAGTTGTAAGGTTTAGGCTGCGTCTATGACATGTTATCTTTGGCCCTGCTGCTGCCAAAACCACTCTACACCGGCTATGCTCCAAGCAGCTCTCCAAATTATTATCTGCATAACAAAAAGAACAAAGAGTTAACAGCCATTAATTCACACAATCGATTTGAAAACGGAAACATGATCAGCATCACACAAAAGCAACAATATCAAATTGAACCTTCAGGCATTAACTTGTTGAAAACAAAGATAGTAAGTTTCGAACATCCATCAAGCCAGGAATCCCATAAAATACGACAAATAATCAGCCAGTTCATCACAAATCATAGCCGATATTTCCTTTCCAAAATCGATAGCATCTTGTGCAATTAATTTCGAGATCACAAATTCAAGTTGACAGGCCTATAAAAGGATACCATAAAGATCAGACAAAGGAGAAAAAAAAAGACGGTTTCGCTAGAAATTATGGCAAGAAAAAGGGAAAAAAGGGGTTCATATGGATTGAAAGAGAAAAACGACACGCATTCTTTAAAATCCACAACAGGCAAATCAACATCAGTACAACACTCACCGTTATCAAGCTTCTCACTGCGGATCTGCGATATTAGTCACCACAAAAAAGCCTTCGGACTTGAACGGAAACTTTTCCGGCGCCCGCACGCCAACCCTTTGCCACCCGTTGCTCACCAGATCGGAATTCGAAGAACGCCACAAACTCGCTCCGACGACGTCCCGCAATCCTCTGGTACTCCTTTTTCTTTCTTCTTTCTTTCATTTTCTCACTAAGACGTGTGATATGTTGTTTTGTTTATTGAGTAAGAGTGATAATAACAGAATGGGAGACGAGAGAATGAAGTCCTTTTGATGATGTTGCTCTCTTGTTTTTGTGGAAAACTTGGTTGGACTTGGGTCATAGGCCCAAGCGCTTCTTTTTTTAACACACCCATAGTCATGTTCACACACCATCCTGTTTTTTCTTCTATTAATTCTAATTTTAATTTATTTTATTATTATTAGTGTGGATTAAAATATTAACTTAAAGAAATCATACCTTTTAATGATATTGGAAATGTAATATTGATTTTGATTAAATTTTGATATTAGTTTTAATATGGACTTTGATTGAATCTTGGTGATTATTTCTTGATTAAATTGCAATGTTAATCTTGACTTAGATTTTGATCAAATGCGGATGTTTGATTGAGCACAAATTTTGAATAGATATTTGATATTGATATTAATTTTAAGTTTGACATTGATTGAATTTTGACGTTAGATGTTGATATAATTCTGGTGCATGTGATTTAGATGATGGAACCTTTAGTCAGTTTCTTCTTTATTTTTGTGAACTTTTGATTGGACTCCTTGATTATTTTTAGTTATTCCTGATATATGTGATTAAGGCTACGGTGGGCTTACTTTCTATTACCCACATAACCCTTTAGGAGATCCTGATTCAACTTTCTCTTCGATATTGAATTAAGATTAGACTTTAGGATTCTCATCCAATCATGGCAACAATAGGTCAGGATTCCTTTTCTCATCCTCAACTATAATTCCATTCGACATGACAACATCTAGGTGTGAGATCCCTTAGATTTTTCAACCTTTGAGTCCTCTTTCTTCTCATCCCAAAACAATTCAAAATACTTAACAAATATGATGTGCATAGTGCGTCACGAGCCTTAAGCATATGGGAAAAGATGAGTGGATGCATTTCTAACCTCATCTTAGGGTACTTTATGCGCGAGACGTTTGGATCGCTAGCGCAAAGTATTTGCTCCATTGACTTCAGTGTGATACACGTCACAAACAAAGTCAATCCACTTCTTCAAAAAAACTTGAACAAACTCAAACCATTTTGTTCTTCAGGATTTCCTCCCAAACCTTTTTTCAAAAAGGGCATGTTACCTTCGTTCTACCGCAAACATGCATCGACCCTAACTGCTGGAATGTGAGTTTACCATCGCTCATAAAAGACACCAACCAACTAGTGGTAGGTCGAACTACGACTGCTCTGACTTCCTCTTTCTCGTTCGAATAAGGATACGTAGGCATAAGACGACGATGTCTTGGCGAGCACAATCCCCCCTCCCATTTACCTGTAGTCCTCTGAACTACGTTGACTCTGACTTTCCCATTGCACGAAGGAATACGTAGGCATAGGATTGCGAGATCCTATCGAGTCACCTTTTGTTCAGTCTCCGTTTAGTAGTAGACTTTTGATTAATACACCATTTGATTAGAACAATAAGCGTGGATTCCGTTGAGTACAACAGACGTAAGAGGTGTTAATACCTTCCTCTCGTGTAATTGACTCTCGAACCCAGGATTTGGTTGCGAGATTATGTCTTCTCCCTTTTGAGGTTATCTCAAGGTTTCTCTTTCCTCGTTGGGATAAATAAAGTCCAATGGCGACTCTGTTTTTTCTGCCGGTTGTTTTGCGCATTGCGACATTGGGAATAAGCTGCAACATTAGTAACGACTAAAGTTTGGTAACTACCAATTAGCAGTAGCATATAGGGGCCAGTGACCGACCTAATGCTAGTCACAACTAGACTTCAGAGGGGAATTTGGTGACGATCAGACAAGCAAAATTAACAGGGAGCTGGTAACAACTAGACTTCTTAGGGAATCCAGAGGGAAATAAAACCTCCTCTAGGGATTAGACAAAAAAGAGGATTTCCTTATCAAAGAGTTCGAGCGGGATCTTCAAGAAATAACTGGAGGTGTAGGTGACAAACAAAACACCCACAGATGCAGTATGAGGGTTGGTAACAACCAAACATCCTAAAATTCATCGGGGATGCTGGTAACAACCAGCCATCCTGAGACGAACGATGCTAATAATTATTGGACTTTTAAACAACGCCAGTCAAGACATTACTAGTCTTACTAGGGATAACCATCAAATGGAGATGCCAATATCAATTGGACTTTAAACAACATCAGTCAAAACATTACTAGGTTGCAGGGGATTGCTACTAACGACTAGAGTTCCAAGAGGATGTGGTGACAACCAAACAGTGATACCAATAACCATTTGATCTAAATAATGCCAGTAACTACTGGACTTTTCGAGGATATAAGTATTTATTGTAACACCCCAATTTTTAATAATTATTTATTAATTGAATTAATAGATTAATTATGTGATTTTAGGCCTAATTGAATTAACTAATTTATGTGATTTAATTGATATAACTGAATTAGTTGATTTATTGAATTTATATAAATTAATTAATTTATTTGAGTTGTTTGGATTAATTGAATTATTGGACATATTCGAAATAATTGATTTAATTTTATTATTTAACTTATATGATATATTCTAATTTGTAGAATAATATAGAATTGTTAGATTAATTGATTGGGCCTATTTGGGGGTGTGAATAGATATGAGTTACTAAGCCCATTAAAAATTATTAGGTTAATAAATTTTGAGAATTTTATAAAACAAGAGAAAGGAGATAGAAGAGAATAGGAATGTTAGTAAGAAAAAGAGGAAAAAGGAGGCAAGAAGAATAGAGTGGGGAAGAAGAAGAAGAATCAAGAGAGAGCTCAAGAACACAAGAAAATCAAGGTAAGGGTGAGTTTTTACATAGTAATTGAGATTATTTGATAATGATTAGTGGGTAGAAATATGTTTAGGATAAAATCCCTAAATTTTTATGATTTGATAATTGTTAGGTTTTAATGTTAATAGTTGATATATGATAATTAATTTGTAGGGAATTAATATATATTGGTGAAATTGAGATAATAACTAGTATACGTAACATTCATTAGAGAAATAATATATTTAATAACATACCATTACAGTAGCAAGCAATACTAGGAGAATTGAATTTAAATGACAATGTTGTGTAGCATATACTGTAGCTAGGGCTGGAAATGAGTCGAGTCGAGTCGAACTCACCTCAGCTCGGCTCGACTCATTAAGAATTTTTCGAGTTCGAGTTCGAGTTCGAGTTCAACACGAACTTTTTTTTAAGCTCAAACTCGACTCGTTATGAATTGTTTCGAGTTCGAGTTCGAGTTCGAGTTCAACACGAACTTTTTTTTAAGTTCAAACTCGACTTGTTATAAGTTCACGAACAGTTTGGTTCAACTCATTAGGATCAGCTCACATGATTCACGGGCTTAAAAACTATTTTTTTTAATATATATATATTTTAGTATATTTGACATTTTAAATAAATATATTTTTTTTAAAATAAAATATTAAAATAAAATAAAAATTATCATATTGAAATTTAACTTTATCTTCGAAATCTACTAATTCAAAACTTACACAACTTTCAAGAGATACATTTGAGAGTCTAATTCAAAAACTACTAAGTTGAAGATTAAATTTGTCTAAGATTTAGATTAAATATTTAAACCTAATCTTAAAGACAGTATAATTATTCTCATATGTAATCGAGTTAACTCATGAACCTAACGAGTCGAACTATGTAAAGTTCAAGTTCAGATCATTTAGTTAACAAACATAATTTTTCGCTCATACTCAACTCATTAGGTTCATGAACCTAGTTCAACGATCTAATTGTCGAATCGAATTTCGAACTATTTTCGAGTTGGTTCGGTTCATTGCCAGCCCTAACTGTAGCGAATACCAGAAGAATGGAATGTGAATTTTTTTATGTTGTAGTGCAAGGAATTGGTAGGAGGAGATGTGGCTTTTTTTATCATGTTGTGTAGTATAAGAAGACTAGAGGAAAAAAACTATAGGAATGAATGTGAGTCTAGTACCAATTCATGATACTGTAGTGAAGAAAAACTACAAGAATAATAATATGTGACCCATATAATTCACCAATGCCATGTTGTAGCGAAAAGAATAAGAATTAAGAAATATAATCTTTTTTTTATATCATGTACAGTAGCAATATATATAAATTGTAAAAAAAAAAGAATTTTATTTAATTATTGAAATTATTTTAATTAATTATTTAAATATTAATTATTTATTCAAATATTGACTAATTATTGAAATATTAGTAGTTTATTAAAATAGTAATTATTTATTAAATATTAAATTGATTATTTATTTAGATATTGACTATTTATTAAATATTGAGTTAATTATTGAGTAACAAAACATGATTTGGTGATGTTCATACTGTAGTGGCATTTTGTGTTGCAAAATGTGATACTCTTTGGAAATGGGTGCATACATGGCACATAACTTTAATTATAATTGAAAACAATGAAAAGTAGTATTTAT